TGACCATAAGCCTACAACTTAATATCTGCCAATAATTAGAGGCATCTCAACAAAATTCATCATCACCTATCAATTCTCAAATTATAACAAAGTATACAATACACCATATTAACCAAAATATACTACGACGTCCTGTGTAATTATTCGGGCAATTCGACTATATCCCACTAAATAGTTTTCTGCTAAAATACTAATGTTTTCGGTTCTTTACTACTATCTTCAATTCCATACGGTTTACTACTAATCACTTATTAATTATTTCATCTTTGTTACTAGCTACTAATTTGTTCTCCTGTTAATCTATTACTAATACTGCTACTGAAAGTTCTACTAAATTACTTCTACTGATAACCTTATTAATAGTTTTCTGCTAATTATTAATTATATTAACTCTCCTGCTACTAACTTATATTTACTAGTAATCCATTAATCATTTAGGGATATATTACCTTAAGAACTCTAATTATTATACTGAAAATGTTAAACAAAAATAATTAACCAATTAACATGCACAGGAGCGTTAAGGAATAAGAAAGAAATATGTGCTCCTCAACATGCACAAGAACAAAAGAAAATAAGTAATAAAGACATGAGCCTCTCTGCACAATGTCCATGCCGCTCGGCACCTCCCCCCTATGCCTCTGTGTCGTTCGACACACTTTTCATCCTTGTGCCGCTCGACACAAGTACCTGTGCCCCTCGATACAACGTGTCTCCCAGCCCCTCACAGACTTCAGTCTGTTATTGATACTAACACAGAATTTTCCAAACTTTTCTTCGATTAAAAATCTTAGACCAAAACAACATTGATTAACACAACAACATAACAACTACGCCAATCATGGGTTAATTTCCAACCTTTCGTTCATTGATGAAATTACTGCAACATTATTAGAAATTATGACAGTGGTAACATGAAATCCAGAAACAACAACAGTTTCACGCACGACAACAATTATGCACACAACCAATCCCTACATAATATTCATCATGATTCCAATTATAGAGTCAACACTCAACCCTTACCTTGAATTGAAGGTCGCTCTATAACTCTCTGATCGAAAACCTTGCTTTGCCTCTTCTCCCTATTCCTCTTCTCTGCAACTTCTCACGATCAATTTCCAACTCCTTATCAATTAAACTTATTCTTTATTTAAATAAAACCTCACAATATTATTATTCTTAGTGGGCTTAACAACACCCCCCCCCCCCATATCTCTACTTCTAACCATTAAAATAGGCCCAACACAATTATTCTATTATTCTACTAATTCTAGTATTATTACTATTATTAATCAACTAATTTATTAACTAGTAATAATCTAGCAACTTATGCCAAAAATTTACAATATCTCACAACTTCAACAAATAATTCGAAAATATTTAATTAAATAATTAATTAAATTAACGGGCGCTACAACAAGACTGATATAGCACAAGTTGTTGGTACAGTTAATAGATTTTTGCCAAATCCAGGTGAAATTGTGGTTTGGCAGTCCAGATTGCAAAAGTGTGTAGTATTGTCTACTACAGATGTTGAGCTCATTGCTATTATTGAACCATGCAAATAGTTACTATGGTTGAACAAATTCTCACATGCACTTAGTTTTATTCAAGACAAATATTTGTTATTTATTGAGAGTCAAAACACTATTCATCTTGGTAAGAATCTAACTTTTCATAATAGGTCCAAACACATTGATGTGAGATATCATTGGATACGTGAGGTTTTAGATGGTAAGTGGTTGAAGTTAGCTTAAGTTTATACAAATGATAACGGTTATGATATGATGAATAAAGTGTTACCTAGAATGAAATTTGAAGCTTGTTGTGATATCGCCGATATGGCGATTTCCTCCACATAGTTGTGAGGGGAGATTTTTTGGGCTTGGGTTCCCTTCCTATGTGGAGAAATGCTCAAATATAATATTCCATTTGTCTCACTTATTTAATTATAGAATTTAAATTCAGGGTTTAGAGAAATAGAAAGAAAATAATGATTCAAAAGAGAGAAAAGAAAAGAGAAACTTATTCATGTTTTTCTGCAACCAGTCTCACTAAATCAACGATTCCCACAGATCAAGCTGAAATTTGGAGGGTATGTTTACAACACATGTATCTACCTTTTGATCATTCATAATTTTAAAACAAATTCTGAGCTGAGAGATACCTGTTTCACACTGAAGCTACATATTTGGGTAATGTTTCAGCTTTTTTTATTTTTATTTATAAGCTAGCTTGCTTTGTAATTTGTGATTGTTATCACTATTTTGCGAATCACTTTAAGACTCTCTTGTACTTTTAATTGATTAAAGTGGAGCTATTTCTTTGTTCTGGATGACTCGTGATGTTTACTCTCATATTGAGTGGTTTTCCGCATTAAAAATAGTGTTCTTTTGTGTCTTTATTTGTTTGATTTGTCGTCTTATAGGTGTTGTTGATCCTCAACGTTCCTACAAGTGTGGGGAATTTTATATCCGTTGTGTATTGTCTATTATTTTGTCTTAATTTCCCATCATTTACATATGGTGATACTACAATATCATGGAGGTTTAAAAAACAAACACTTGTAGCAATTTCTTAAAATAATGCTGAAGTAATTTCCTTTCATGAAGCAAGCAAAGTGTATATATGGTTAAGATTCGAAAAAAGACATATCCAAGGAGTATATGGTTTACCAATTAATAAGAATCCAACAAATTTGTATGAAGATAATGTTGCATGTGTTACCCAAATGAAAGAATGTTACATCAAAAGTGATAAAGTCAAACATATTCCTCCATAGTTCTTCTGATTCACATAAGAACTCGAAAGAAACAAAGAGGTTGATATATAATATATTCGTTCGACTGATAATGTGGCAGATCTCTTCATAAACTTACTTCCTATATCACTTTTCAATAAATAACTATATGTGTCTGGTTGAGAGAGAGCATAATGTTGTACTCATTTTTCTTTGTTAAGGTTTTTATTCCAATAAATTTTTTCTAATAATATTTTTAACGAGACAACATATATTCCCACAAGATTCTTTTCGACAAGACTTCAATGAAACTCCGTATTAGATATTTCGAAAGGGAAAAAGTGTTATAATAAATATTTAAATAGTTTTTTAGTCTCTGTGAATTAGTCCATTTTTAATTTTAGTCCCTAAATTTTTTTTCGGTACATGTCCCTGTATGTTATTTTCTTGTTGGTATTGGTCCATCCTATCTATCTTCCGTTACAAAAAGATCTATGTTATAAAGGGGGTTGATGCGGGGACCTTTTTTTCTTTTTCTTTTTTCATTTTTTTAATATTCAATTATTCTATGTATGATTCCTTTTGGTTTTTTGATTTTGCCCCTAAATTATTAAATGTAAAAAATTTTAAAACTTGTGCAAAAAAGGTTTGAACCGTCCATCTCTTGCTGAAAACCTTCCCACATTAAACACTAAACCACATGTGAGAATTATCACGGCAATATATATATATTGTGATATTATATTTTGTTTAAAATATTAAATATAATTAAATAAATATTAATATATTTTGTGTTCGAAAAAATTTCTGTAACATTCTTTTTTGACAAAAAATATTTTAAAATGGGTTATGTCAAATTTTGTTAAAAATATTAAATATAATTAAATAATAATTAAATATTTTGTTTTGAAAAAAAAAAGTAATTGGATATTTCAACCATAGTTTATATATTAGAAGTTTATATATTAAATATTTTAAATATTTAGCTTATTAAATATTTCTATTATTTAATATTTCAATCATAGTTTAATATTTCAATTATACATTAATTAAACTAGTAAGTTTATTAAATTTTTTTACTATTTAGTTGATATATTTCAATCATAGTTTATATATTTCAATAGTTTATATATTTTAAATAGTTGAAATATTTAATTTATTCAATAACATATAAAATATTTAATTAATTTATTGAATTTAATAGTTAAAATATTTAATTAGTTAATCAATATTTACTATTTAATGTTTGATTATCTAAGTTATATATTAATGAAAATAATTAGTTTACTAAATATATCTTAATTATTTAATATTTAAAATAATTTATTTAATAATGATTTAATATTTAATTAAAATAATTAATTATTAATTTAAATAATTATTTAATATTTAATTAATTTATTAAATTCAATAATTAAATATACTTTAATTATTTAATATTTAAAATCATTAATAATATTCTGCTAATATCCATCAATTGTAATTATTAACCAAACAACATAAATAGTGCGTTAGAGAGACATTATTCTTGTAAATAAAAAGTTTATAGTTCAAAACCCTTGGCCACCATAGTCAATGTAAATATACACCATTTCTTTGAGAAATATAAATTATTATTCTACTTTTTTTTCTTTCATTATTTCCTTAATTTAATTCAAATATTTAATTTTTTCAACAATTTTATGAGATTAAGTGACATATATAGTGGTGTAAAAAAAATCATTAGTGTATCACAACCATCTATAAATATTATTTTATTAAGGTGAAGTTTAAGTTATGCTTTATAAAATTAGTGGTAATTTATCTTTAATGATTTATATCAATAAAATTTTATCACATAAAATTAATTTTTAAAATTATATATTAATTTAAAATTTTAAAATATTAGATTTATATCTTTTTCTCACTTAAAAAAGTTCAATATCATTTTTTCATCCAATATAAATTATTATTCACATTTGACATACCAACATCTTACTACTCAAAAATCAAATCATATATAATTTTTTTTAATTTCATTTTGATATTTTAAAATTTAAATTAATATATAATTTTAAAATTATATTTTATATGATAAAATTTAATTGATACACGTCATAAAAAAATAAATTATCTCTAAATTTACAAAAATAATCAAGAATTTACTTTTTATTAATAATTAAAATAAAAAACAAATATAATTTAAAAGCTAACCATTATTATTTATGGCGGGTGCAAAAATTTTTTGCACTCAAAATATATTTCAATTAAATTCATATTAGATAAGATACCATCCTACATTTAAAAAAAAACTCAATCCAACAATGGATAAGGATTACCACGTCACTTAAACTTTCTTTCTCGAACAAACAAAATATAAAAAAAGCATAACAAACAACAAAACCTAGCTCTAATCCACAACTGACACGTGTCCTTCTCCCACCTCCATTTTCACCTTCAAATCCACCTCTCTTTCCGGTAATACTTCTCAAATTTTTGAACTTCACCTTCATATATCCTTCTCCAACGCCGATATTCGCCACCAATTTTCCGACATGCTTCCAACTTTCCGTCGCCGGCGACGCCGTCGATAGATAAACTCTCCGGTATGAACCGTTCCATGACACACTCTTTCTTGATTCGGAAATGCTAGATCTATTCATCGTTTCACATGTTCGATCCAAAACCTGGTTTCACAAGAGGAAAAAAATTAACCCCATTTCATCATTCTCGTAACTTGTTTCTCACTAATTTTCCTTCCAATTTACGTTAATACGTTGTTGTAATCTGCGGAATTTGTACAGTCATGTTGATTTTCCAATTTTCTTTGCTGGATTTGGGAATTTTTGTATAGTTAGGGTTTGTGAAATTGTGATAGTGTTAGGGTTTGAAGGTGTTTTTGAAGTAAGATTAAAAAAAAAATAGATTTTGGTTTTGGGTTTAAGTTTGTGAAAGTGGCTAAAATGAGCATGACTGTTGCCGAGGAAGAATCAGAGGGAGAGATTCATGTCCCAGCTGAGATTGATTGGAAAATGCTTGATAAATCGAAGTTTTTCTTCCTTGGTGCTGCTTTATTTTCTGGTGTTTCAGCGACATTGTATCCTGTTGTTGTGTTGAAAACTAGGCAGCAAGTTGCTCAATCGCAAGTTTCTTGTATCAAGACTGCGTTTTCGTTGATTAAGGGTGAGGGGTTTAGAGCTTTGTATCGTGGGTTTGGTACTTCGTTGATGGGTACGATTCCTGCTAGAGCTTTATACATGGCTGCACTTGAGGTTACTAAGAGTAATGTGGGGACTGCTACGGTTGGTTTTGGACTTGCTGAACCGACTGCTGCTGCAATTGCTAATGCAGTTGCTGGTTTGACTGCTGCTTTGGCAGCTCAGCTTGTGTGGACACCGGTTGATGTTGTGAGCCAAAGGTTGATGGTTCAAGGTGGTTGTAATTCGAGTGATCCTAAGGGTTCTTCTGTTAGGTATGTGAATGGAATTGATGCATTTAGGAAAATTGTTAAGACGGATGGTCCTAGGGGTTTGTATAGAGGTTTTGGGATATCGGTTTTGACGTATGCGCCTTCTAATGCAGTGTGGTGGGCTTCATATTCTGTTACACAGAGGATGGTTTGGGGTGGAGTTGGATATTACTTGAGTAGCAAGAAAGGTGGGGAAGGAAGTGATAATAACAACGGGACTAGTGCATTGAGGCCAGATACAAAAACAATTATGGCTGTTCAGGGAGTCAGTGCAGCAATGGCAGGAGGTATGTCTGCCTTGATTACTATGCCATTGGATACAATCAAGACAAGGCTGCAAGTCATGGACGGAGATGAGAATGGCCGCCGTGGACCAACTGTGATGCAGACCGTTAGAGGTTTGGTTAAGGAAGGCGGTTGGACGGCTTGTTATAGAGGATTAGGACCTAGATGGGCTTCAATGTCAGTGTCTGCAACAACAATGATCACAACCTATGAGTTGCTTAAACGACTTTCTGCAAAGAGTCAAGATGTTTTGACATGAAGAATGATATAATTACAACAACAACAAAGAACACACACAAGAGAGAGAGAGAGAGAGAGAGAGAGAGAGAGGGAAAGATGTTTTTCCCCTCTCTTCTTTTGTCTAAATTCTACTCTTGTCTTTCTTGTCTCATTTTTTCTCCTTTTGTTTGGGCTAGCTAGCATGACTGTTTGATCAATGTAAGTCATTGCAGGTGTATATATAAATAAATTCTTTTTTCTAACACATTATATTTCTTCCTTCTCATTCAATTCTTTCATATGCTTCATGCTAATTTGGAAGCTTCTTTTGTTAATTATGTGCCCCTCTGGTTTAAAAGATGAATAGCTATTAGTTTTCAAATTAAAATATCATCTAGTGGCTAAGAATCCAGGATATACCTAATATGTTATAGATCTATAATCTAGACTATAGTTTAGGGTTTATATAGGCACATTTCTAGATTTTCTGACATTATTAAGTCTTTCTATTCTTAAAATTACAGTATGGACGCTCTCTAGTGCTTTACTCATTAGAGCACTCACATTCATTAAACTTATTTTTGAGTTCTTTAAATAGGACCCATTCAATTTTTTATATTATTTTATTCTCTTCAGTTATTTAAAAAACTCAGCTACATTTTTCCAATATTCATATAATTCTTCAAAAACTTTAAATAGATCCCACCAAATTTCACATTATATCTCACACTTAGCTTAATTTTGGCACTTTTTAATTATAAATTAAAAAAAGAAATAAGTTAAAGGAACGTTGTTTAGTGTAATAACGTTGGCAAAACAAGGAACGCTTTTCTCATTCAATTATCCAAGGTTTTCTGACACAGTAACTTAAAAAACTATGAATTACTACCGATATTTATGCTCTTAGTTATCAGAAAATGAGAACAACTTGAATCATTTTTATTTTATTTAGAGCTAGGTTAGGTTCAACTTGTATGCATTTTGTATTTTTATATTATATAGAGCTAGATTAGGTTCGTTGTGGATAACTTTAGTTGAATGTTGGGTTGGTAGGGTTACCAACATGATGAGAAGGTGGACCAGAGGAGTTAGGCCACTGCTAAATTAGGAAATTACATATTAGTCCATTATCTCAATAAAATTATATAGTATGATAGTAATAACTATGAATTATTGACGTTCCAAACATGATATTTGATATAACGACATCAATAATGATTTGAAAAAAATAAATGTTTCTATAGGTGTCCAACATGAACATAAACATATTTTTTCTAAAAATATTGGTGTTATATAAGTACTTATCTCCTTTTTGCAAATGACATTATTCTTTGTATAGTCTTAGACTAAAATTATTGCTTTCTCTAGGCTTAGGCCCACAAATCATTTAAAAAATCTCATCCTATAAATTAGGGTTTATTTTTTCAATACATGTGCAAGACTTTAATAATGTTGTCTGTCATAAACTAATTTGACATGTAATATTAAGTAGTGCTAAAATGAATTTATGTTTTGTTTTAGGGAATTTCTCTTTACATTTAATAGTAGTGATTTTCACTATTGAAAATTCAAAAATATCCTTCGCATGTGCACTTGCGAATTCACATATCAGGGTGTTTCAAAAGTACACATGCGAAGATATTCTTTTTTGCACGTTTTAATATTTAAACGTTGAGTTTAAAAAAATATTGAGGGGGTTTTGCATGTGCACATATGAAACATCCTGAAAGGTGAATTCAGATGTCCACATGTGAAACTTCTCTTTTCATATTAGAATGTTGCATGGTCACCTATTTCAACTATTTCATTCATTTTCTTTTCCTCTAACAAAAACCCTCAATAAACTTCAATCAATCTCAATGAATTTCTCGTCTCCAAATCAAGTTTTAAGTGTTCGAGTTTAGAAAAGTGAACATTGAAAGTTGTAATTTGAAGTAAACTTTCATCCCTTCATCATACATTAGTTGCATTGAAGTTGTTTTGTTGAAGAAGAAAACAACTTCACTTTGCATATGCACCTGCGAAGGCCACCTGCCAAAATTCGCAAGTGCACATGGGAATTTATATCTGTTACAGAACCATAATTATGTATTAACAAAATTCATGTTTTTTTAGCATGTTAGGTATGGTGCACCCAAACAACATTGTCAAAGTTACTGTAAACGTTACGGACAAAGTCAATGAAGACGATAAGCCAAATGAGGTGAAGGACGTTGATAAAACGACCGATGTTGTGATAGATCATGGACAAAAAATTCCAAATGATAAAACTTTCACCACTCGTCAACATATGTTTGAATGAGTTCAAATGGAAGTTAGCAAACTTGGATTTAACGTTGTGATTGAAAGGTCCAACAATGAGACTGGTAATTGGCAACCATTTGTTGTGATGACATGCGAGAGAAGTGGAAAATATGTTCCAAAATTTCACAAGATAAAACATGATGAAACGGAATCGAGAAAATGTGGGTGTTAGTTTAAATTGTGAGGATATTATAGGATGGATGATTTATGGAGGTTTAATGTCATGTTCGGTATGCATAATCATGCGTTGGACACCAAGTTACACGGGTATCAAATTGTATGTCGGCTTAATCCGATAGAGAAGAAATTTATTTTTGAATTATCGTTGATCAAAGTTGCACCGAAAAACATACTTGCCGGTTTGAAACGGAATAGAGCGGAATGTGTTTCAAATATCAAGTCGGTTTACAATTATCGTTATAAATAACACATTGCACAAAGAGGTCCGAGGTCTAAAATGCAACATTTATTGAAATGTTTGGACAATAACCACTACGTTTCCAGACAGAGTTTTTGAGGACAACGTAAGTATTCATGACATTTTTTGGACGCATCTGGAAAATATTAATTTGTTAAACACATTTCCAACTGTTCTTATGATTGATTCGACGTACAAGACCAACAAGTATAGACTTCCGCTTCTAGAAATTGTTGGTGTCACCTCTAAAGACAAGACATTTTCGGTTGGATTTGGTTTTTTAGAAAGTGAGAAAGAAGACAACGTCACTTGGACATTGGATATTTGCAAGACTTTATTGAAAGATCCAAAAAATATGCATATGGTAGTTGTTACCGACCGAGATAACGCCCTTATGAATGCAGTTGGCATTGTGTTTCCTTCGTCAACCACAATACTTTGTCTTCACAGTTGTTTCACAATATATTCTGGGCGAGATTAAATTTCATTTTCTATGAAGCGAAACAAGCAGAAACAACAAGGCTAGATAGTTTGAAATGTGGATGTACAATAAGGACGACTTACGGGCTACCATGTGCTTGTATTATTTAAAAAAAAAATTAAGTTTAATGGGATGTCTCTTAGACTACTTATAATGGGGTATTGAAAAAATTATTAAATAGTTAAAATTGTTGCAATGGAGTGTTGAATTGAGTGTTGAAAGTGAGGTGAATTAATTAGTGTTGAAAACATTAACATGTTGATGGGGAAGGAGTGAGACCACATAAAATACTTTGTAAAATCTTATTGGTTGTTGTGAATGTTTAAATTTTCATCTCATTCTAATTTTTTAGGTTTAATTATTTTATAGTAAATCAATTTTTATTTATTTTTATTTTCAATAAAATTCATCATTTTTTTAAATTTATAAATAGAGACTTATTCATTTGATTTAAAGACAAAAAAATTGACGTTATTAAACAAAACCCTTGCAGTGAATTAAAGTTAAATAAATATTTAATTGTTAGATGAAAGAGAGAAAAAATAATATAGAATATAAAAAATGAAAACAAGAGAGTGTTGAATATCTAAACTATTATAAATAATTGTTAATTTTATTACTATGTAGTTTACAAGTTACTACTTAAATAATGAAAGGCTTGAAGAACTAGTGCTTTGAACATGTCACTTGTCAAAAGAAAAAGAATGATTTTAGATATCATTATAAAAAGCTCGTGTCTTTCGTATAGTTATTAAACTAGAATAAACAATACAAGATAATGTGGTAAAGATTCAGTTCTCTTACCCAATCAATAGTTTGAAGTAACCATAAGCCTCTCCATCTTTGACGGCTATCTTTACTATTAGAACCTTTTGGCAAAGTTACAAAGGCATGGCAATGGAAAGGTAGTCAATCCCTTCCCATCTTTGACATGTAACAAAGAGTCATGGGATAGAGTTTTTGTGTTGATAAAATTACTAATATGATCTCATAAACTTCTACTAGTGTCCACTAGGTTTGTTTGTGACATGAGTATTAACTAGACTAAGACCAATTCGATGGTTTTAAATTAGTTTATTTATTTATATTAAATTTTAAATATATTAAAATTTATTTTGACAAAATATATTATTAAATTTATATTATAATATTTTATAATAAATTATAAGATAATGATGTGAATTAATCATATATAAAAATATATTTTTAAAAGAAAAATTTATTCACAAATTAAAAAACAATAATTTTAATAATAGATTAAAAAAACAATTTGCGAGAGTATTATTTGTGACATATAATAGAGAATAAATATGAGGTATGTTGTACCCCAAAATTTGCCCTCCCATCTTCTCAACATTTTCTCATCACAAGGCCCTTGGAGCTCAAGATCCAGTGTGGGTTTCCTCTGCTCAAAACTTCTCCTAGCATTGTTGACCCAGATTAGGGTTTGTGTTTGCACAAAGATGTTTTGACCTAAAATGCCTAAGATGACTTTCATGCTTCATGTTGGACTCCCAAGTTTATCCATACCAAGTTTCAAGCCTTGATTCCAAACTTTGCCCAGTCAATTGGACAGTTGACCTAGAAATCAGCTGTATTGGGGAAAAAGTCAACTGTGGTCAATTGACAGTCAAATCTCATGGAAATTGACCCACATCAACATTATAAACTCATATGGACCATTTGATCAAGTTTGGATCACAATTCCACAAGAAATTTGATCTGATCACCAAAAGGGCAAAATGGTCATTTCTAGGGTTTTGACTGCACAAAGGCAATTTTTGACTGTTTGACCTAGCCAATGGCAAACCAAGCTCACATATGGACTCAAGGACCC